CCTCCACCTTTAACGGGCTATTTGTTTCCATTATTATTCTGTTCGAGTCATGCTGCATTTGTTTCATTTTAATAATACTCATTATTAATAGTTTTGTTCTCACTTAACTTAGTGCTATGCTGGGTTTATACTACAGAAGGACAAACTCCCCACACTCGTTTACGAAAAAATGTCTGTTTTTCTTTTAAATACATATATTTTGAATATTAATTTGCACACAAGAGGAACACGCAAGGGAACAAATACAAGAAAATTAAATAAGAAATTATGTTACTAAAAACTAAATGTAGAATTTTGAAATCCTTCCTGGGTTTACAGGTAAGATGAGCTACCTGAAGAAGCCCCTGGGGGTAATTGTACCTCAGGAGTCCTTTTGATCAATGCTAACTTGTTATTTAGGCATAACATTAACTTTGTTTTCAAATTTAGATTTTGCTAACACATACAGAAACGATCGTTGTTGTTTTTTTTAAGTTGAATTATTCCCCATTAATTTTGAAGTACTTTTCTAACTTTTAAAATATATCTTTACAATGATGTTATTAGTGATACTATTTTTATTTATTTTTTTACATGAAAATAAAGTCTGATAATTAATCACTAAACTGTTTAGCTGACAGTGGTGAAGATTTCGAGCTAGCTAGCTGGTGCTACAGAAAGCTAATACAGCATACAGTTATTAGCTTAACATAAAGGCAGGTAGTTCGCCATTTAGATTGACAATGACAGGGTTTTTTTTACTGCTGGTTAGCTATTATGTTATTGTATTGGATGAAACATTGTGACGAGATCAGTGATCAGAGATCAGAGTTCAGTGTGTCAACAGTTTGCTTTTTCATAAAGGCAGAAAATTGCTTTTCATCCAGCAGGGGATTTTTTTTCAATGACCACGAAAAAAAAATGCATCTGTTGTTTGACTTCCCAAAACAAGAGTATAAGCCTGTGTAAATCATGACAATTGAAGTGGTTGTCTGATATCGATATAGGAAACAGCGACGACTGACCTGTTGGTTAGCCTGTGTTTACAGTCCTCAGTCTCTGTGCTCCTAGTGGCCAGTTGGACACATTGTGGGATTGATCAGGAGCAGGGAGAAGGCATAAGTCTGACAGGCTTGTGTTGTCGTTGGGACGTTGTGAGGTGCAGATGCAGCATCGGTTGTCGTCCACTGCTCAGATAAAACCATCAACTGGTCACAATGCCTCTTTGATCAGACTGTTTCCATGCTGTAGTCTGAGCCGTGCATGACTCATTGCTAAGCTCAATGCTAAACTCATTAAAGCCATATTTACATTATCACCGAAACACAAGTTTAGCATTCACCCCCGCACATTGTTTTGTATGTGGTACGTTGCAACCACCAAGAGGACACAATAGGATGTCAGCCTTGGCTGCACAGCTTTCAGCCAGCTGGACAGTTATGGTACCTTGCATGCCGTACAGGCCTGAACATACAAACGCCTACTGGGACAACGTGGACGTTCTTTGGCTATCTGTCAGCACACAGCTTTCACAGGAATAAATCAGGGACCATTTTTGAACTT